ATAAACTTATAATTACAATCAATATGACTTACGAACGGATTTTTCGGGGGCATCTCTATTTATTTATAGTACCTTTGCCTCGTCTGTTCCTGTTTGGCTGTGACTCCATCCTGGAGAGAAATATCAGCTGTGCTGCTGCCATCAACACCTTTGTTTATAGATGTTGGAGATCTCCCTGTTTTCCAGTGTGGTCCTGTTTCTCTGACTGTGACTGGCTGGATGTGCTCTCTTCATCTCTGACATGGGAGCTGGCTCGGAGCTCGTCTACCTGGCTGTGTGATTCCTGGGCCGCCTTTTACAGCTGCCTTTTGTATCTCTTCTTCTGTCTCCTAGAACCCCAGTCGGCCTCTGCAGATGGCCGCTCACACTGAGCCTGGTTCTGCTGGAGGTTTCTTCCTGGTTTTCCTCTCCACTGTCGCTACAAGCATGCTTAGTGTGAGGGATTGCATTCGAGTCAATGAGTCGATGCAATCAATTGGTTTTCCTTAGCTAGAAAACTTTGAAACAATTTGACTGTATGATCTGGTTGAACTGTAAAGTGCCTTGAGATGACATGTTGTGAATTGGCGCTATAGAAATAAACTGAATTGAATTTTAACTTTTACTTGAACATTGAAGTAGCTGCTGGTTGATATTCACTGAGTGCCGCTGTGTGTCTCTCCTCCAACTATGTAGCTACTTTGTACACAGTGAAATGCGACCGCAAATCAGATGTGTCAAAGCGACATATTGTGATCCCTCATGTCAACACAATACTTATACTCACAGCTTATGGACACGACATATGCATCAGATATATACACCTTCCATACACACCTTACATAGACACATGAACGCATCAGAAGACGCATGAACATATTTTGGCACAATTGGAACCCCATAGAAAACACACTGACTGAATACAGATAGCTCCACCCAACTCTGTTACCTTTAGCTAAAGCAGATGAGCGGAAATGCGAAAAAAGCAGAAATTATTGTTGGGGACATGTCCACACCAGTCCTTCAGAAAGTGACTGTGATTCTGAGCATGTCCAACTGAAACCAATAACAAAACATCTGCTTTGGGTTTAATCAAAATCCAAAAATAGACATTTTATAAATAAACTGCTGTCTCAAAGGCCAAATATGGTTTTGATTATATTACTAATAATTGTACTTCCGATGATGAGAATCTAGGGATAATTTAGTTTAAGGGGATCTTTATTGTGGAGATATTTCAATTACTGTATGTTGATGTTTATAAGATGTTCAGCAAAAAATTAAATTTAGCATCTTTTACCTGTTCTTTTTTTTTTATTGCCTGTCAACTTGCATGAATAATTGTCTAATTGTTTCATTTTCTTTTTTCCTTGATATTTTCTGTTTAAAATAAATAGATGGATTAATATAACATTTATTCTAAATAAAACCTACACATAATGACCTCATGATGAGGATTAAACACCTGCTTGATCCTGACAGAGGGGTCAAAAGTACTCATGTTCTTTACTTAAAGTAAAAGTAGAGATACCTGAGTAAAAAAAAAGAATTTGGAAAAGTTTAAAGTAAGAATTGAGCTCTTTTATATACCGTAGTTAAAAGTAAAAAGTACACCTTCTAAATTCCAAAGTTAAGAAGAAAAAGAAAAAAAAGAAAAGTAAAAGTAAGATTTTGCCGTTAATAGAGCCTTTTATAAACTCAATTTTTATTTTAAAAAAAAACGTTGTATTAACAGAAAATAGATTCATTTTCCTCTTTTGTCCACTGTATTGATAGCGAGAACATAAAGAAAAATACTGACTTGTTTTAATTTTGTTCTAAATTAACTGAACAGAAGCTCTGGTATTTACAAGATTAAAGTTGCAAATAGTATTAACTATGAAACAAAAGTTAAAAAATGATTTATATATATAAAAATAAGATAAAAAATAAATATTTATAAAGGTGGAAATTGATGTCCTGCATCTCAGAATCAAATCCATCATCTTCAGTGTTACGAGCCTCCCTGTTTTCATCCATCTATCAGGGTTTTCCTACAAAATAACAGGGCTCCACTTGGACACAGTCTTATGCCATGTTGTTATCAACCTGTATGGAAGTAATAAGCAAGTTTGGACAAACCAAGGTGTAGAAAGTAAAGATATTTGTCATCAGATGTAGTGAGTTAAAGTAAAAAGTCCTTAGAATAATAAACACGCAAGTGAAGAACAGATACTGAAAAAAAGGCTGCAACAGTGATGAAATATTTATACTTTGTTACTTAACATCTCTGGATACTAACAACAAATTTTAGTGTACCTGGTGTATAAAACTAGCATATTCTCTACTGCTTTAAATAAATAAATAAACGATTTATAAAGTTAGAGGTCATGATGTGACCATAATCTAAGCCTGAGCCCAGTTCAGTTTGTAAAAAAAACACCTTTACATGATAACATATAGGATCTCCCCCACTGCAATACATAAATAACATCAGTCAGAAGAATAAAGAGCCAGGGTGGTGTGTTTTTACTGATTTATGAAAGATTTCAAAAAAGAAAAAAAAAAAGTTGAAGGATCAAAGTGCAAGTGTGACACAAGACATGGCAAGTACAAATCCTAATTTAAAAGCATCTAATTTGTTCATTTCTCACAGTGAAAGGCTGTCCATCAGTGTTGCATAGCTGTTAGAATCAGACTATTACATTCCAATGGAAATAAAATCAGTAAAAAAACTCTGCATTTATTAAGATTGTTCCCTCCAAATGCCTAATTTCACACCAGGAGGTCATTTTAAAGCAGATGTACAGAATGTGTTTCTTTTTAATGACACTCATCTCCCCAGGGTCCAACAATGAGCCGGTCATGTATTCCTTCAGCGTTCTCACGCTGAGAAA